AGCAAGGAGCAGGAGCAGGAGCAGAGAGGAGCAGGAGCAGGAGCAGGAGCAGAAGGAGCAGGAGCAGGAGCAGGAGCAGGAGCAGGAGCAGGAAGCAGGAGCAGGGCAGGAGCAGGAGCAGGAGCAGGAGCAGGAAGCAGGAGCAGGAGCAGGAGCAGGAGCAGGAGCAGGAGCAGGAAGCAGGAGCAGGAGCAGGAGCAGGAGCAGGAGCAGGAGCAGGAGCAGGAGCAGGAGCAGGAGCAGGAGCAGGAGCAGGAGCAGGAGCAGGAAGCAGGAGCAGGAGCAGGAGCAGGAGCAGGAGCAGGAGCAGGAGCAAAGGAGCAGGAGCAGAGCAGGGAGCAGGAGCAGGAGCAGGAGCAGGAGCAGGAAGCAGGAGCAGGAGCAGGAGCAGGAGCAGGAGCAGGAGCAGGAGCAGGAGCAGGAGCAAGAGCAGGAGCAGGAGCAGGAGCAGGAGCAGGAGCAGGAGCAGGAGCAGGAGCAGGAGCAGGAGCAGGAGCAGGAGCAGGAGCAGGAGCAGGAGCAGGAGCAGGAGCAGGAGCAGGAGCAGGGAGCAGGAGCAGAGCAGGAGCAGGAAGCAGGAGCAGGAGCAGGAGCAGGAGCAGGAGCAGGAGCAGGAGCAGGAGCAAGGAGCAGGAGCAGGAGCAGGAGCAGGAGCAGGAGCAGGAGCAGGAGCAGGAGCAGGAGCAGGAGCAGAGAGCAGGAGCAGGAGCAGGAGCAGGAGCAGGAGCAGGAGCAGGGAGCAGGAGCAAGGAGCAGAGCAGGAGCAGGAGCAGGAGCAGGAGCAGGAGCAGGAGCAGGAGCAGGAGCAGGAGCAGGAGCAGGAGCAGGAGCAGGCAGGGAGCAGGAGCAGGAGCAGGAGCAGGAGCAGGAGCAGGAGCAGGCAGGGAGCAGGAGCAGGAGCAGGAGCAGGAGCAGGAGCAGGAGCAGGAGCAGGAGCAGGAGCAGGAGCAGGAGCAGGAGCAGGAGCAGGAAGCAGGAGCAGGAGCAGGAGCAGGAGCAGGAGCAGAGAGCAGGAGCAGGAGCAGGAGCAGGAGCAGGAGCAGGAGCAGGAGCAGGAGCAGGAGCAGGAGCAGGAGCAGGAGCAGGAGCAGGAGCAGGAGCAGGCAGGAGCAGGAGCAGGAGCAGGAGCAGGAGCAGGAGCAGGAGCAGGAGCAGGAGCAGGAGCAGGAGCAGGAGCAGGAGCAGGAGCAGGAGCAGGAGCAGGAGCAGGAGCAGGAGCAGGAAGCAGGAGCAGGACAGGAGCAGGAGCAGAGCAGGAGCAGGAGCAGGAGCAGGAGCAGGAGCAGGAGCAGGAGCAGGAGCAGGAAGCAGGAGCAGGAGCAGGAGCAGGAGCAGGAGCAGGAGCAGGAGCAGGAGCAGGAGCAGGAGCAGGAGCAGGAGCAGGAGCAGGAGCAGGACAGGAGCAGGAGCAGGAGCAGGAGCAGGAGCAGGAGCAGGAGCAGGAGCAGGAGCAGGAGCAGGAGCAGGAGCAGGAGCAGGAGCAGGAGCAGGAGCAGGAGCAGGAGCAGGAGCAGGAGCAAGGAGCAGGAGCAGGAGCAGGAGCAGGAGCAGGAGCAGGAGCAGGAGCAGGAGCAGGAGCAGGAGCAGGAGCAGGAGCAGGAGCAGGAGCAGGCAGGAGCAGGAGCAGGAGCAGAGAGCAGGAGGCAGGAGCAGGAGCAGGAGCAGGAGCAGGAGCAGGAGCAGGAAGCAAGGAGCAGGAGCAGGAGCAGAGCAGGAGCAGGGCAGGAGCAGGAGCAGGAAGCAGGAGCAGGAGGAGCAGGAGCAGGAGCAGGAGCAGGAGCAGGAGCAGGAGCAGGAGCAGGAGCAGGAGCAGGAGCAGGAGCAGGAGCAGGAGCAGGAGCAGGAGCAGGAGCAGGAGCAGGAGCAGGAGCAGGAGCAGGAGCAGGAGCAGGAGCAGGAGCAGGAGCAGGACAGGAGCAGGAGCAGGAGCAGGAGCAGGAGCAGGAAGCAGGAGCAGGAGCAGGAGCAGGAGCAGGAGCAGGAGCAGGAGCAGGAGCAAGCAGGAGCAGGAGCAGGAGCAGGAGCAGGAGCAGGAGCAGGAGCAGGAGCAGGAGCAGGAGCAGGAGCAGGAGCAGGAGCAGGAGCAGGAGCAGGAGCAGGAGCAGGAGCAGGAGCAGGAGCAGGAGCAGGAGCAGGAGCAGGAGCAGGAGCAGGAGCAGGAGCAGGAGCAGGAGCAGGAGCAGGAGCAGGAGCAGGAGCAGGAGCAGGAGCAGGAGCAGGAGCAGGAGCAGGAGCAGGAGCAGGAGCAGGAGCAGGAGCAGGAGCAGGAGCAGGAGCAGGAGCAGGAGCAGGAGCAGGAGCAGGAGCAGGAGCAGGAGCAGGAGCAGGAGCAGGAGCAGGAGCAGGAGCAGGAGCAGGAGCAGGAGCAGGAGCAGGAGCAGGAGCAGGAGCAGGAGCAGGAGCAGGAGCAGGAGCAGGAGCAGGAGCAGGAGCAGGAGCAGGAGCAGGAGCAGGAGCAGGAGCAGGAGCAGGAGCAGGAGCAGGAGCAGGAGCAGGAGCAGGAGCAGGAGCAGGAGCAGGAGCAGGAGCAGGAGCAGGAGCAGGAGCAGGAGCAGGAGCAGGAGCAGGAGCAGGAGCAGGAGCAGGAGCAGGAGCAGGAGCAGGAGCAGGAGCAGGAGCAGGGCAGGAGCAGGAGCAGGAGCAGAAGCAGGAGCAGGAGCAGGAGCAGAGCAGGAGCAGGAGCAGGAGCAGGAGCAGGAGCAGGAGCAGGAGCAGGAGCAGGAGCAGGAGCAGGAGCAGGAGCAGGAGCAGGAGCAGGAGCAGGAGCAGGAGCAGGAGCAGGAGCAAGGAGCAGGAGCAGGAGCAGGAGCAGGAGCAGGAGCAGGAGCAGGAGCAGGAAGCAGGAGCAGGAGCAGGAGCAGGAGCAGGAGCAGGAGCAGGAGCAGGAGCAGGAGCAGGAGCAGGAGGAGGAGCAAGGAGCAGGAGCAGGAGCAGGAGCAGGAGCAGGAGCAGGAGCAGGAGCAGGAGCAGGAGCAGGAGCAGGAAGCAGGAGAGGAGCAGGAGCAGGAGCAGGAGCAGAGCAGGAGCAGGAGCAGGAGCAGGAGCAGGAGCAGGAGCAGGAGCAGGAGCAGGAGCAGGAGCAGGAGCAGGAGCAGGAGCAGGAGCAGGAGCAGGAGCAGGAGCAGGAGCAGGAGCAGGAGCAGGAGCAGGAGCAGGAGCAGGAGCAGGAGCAGGAGCAGGAGCAGGAGCAGGAGCAGGAGCAAGGAGCCAGGAGCAGGAGCAGGAGCAGGAGCAGGAGCAGGAGCAGGAAGCAGGAGCAGGAGCAGGAGCAGGAGCAGGAGCAGGAGCAGGAGCAGGAGCAAGGAGCAGGAGCAGGAGCAGGAGCAGGAGCAGGAGCAGGAGCAGGAGCAGGAGCAGGAGCAGGAGCAGGAGCAGGAGCAGGAGCAGGAGCAGGAGCAGAGAGCAGGAGCAGGAGCAGGAGCAGGAGCAGGAGCAGGAGCAGGAGCAGGAGCAGGAGCAGGAAGCAGGAGCAGGAGCAGGAGCAGGAGCAGGAGCAGGAGCAGGAGCAGGAGCAGGAGCAGAGCGAGCAGGAGCAAGGAGCAGGAGCAAGCAGAGCAGGAGCAGGAGCAGGAGCAGGAGCAGGAGCAGAGCAGGAGCAGGAGCAGGAGCAGGAGCAGGAGCAGGAGCAGGAGCAGGAGCAGGAGCAGGAGCAGGAGCAGGAGCAGGAGCAGGAGCAGGAGCAAGCAGGAGCAGGCAGGAGCAGGAGCAGGAGCAGGAGCAGGAGCAGGAGCAGGAGCAGGAGCAGGAGCAGGAGCAGGAGCAGGAGCAGGAGCAGGAGCAGGAGCAGGAGCAGGAGCAGGAGCAGGAGCAGGAGCAGGAGCAGGAGCAGGAGCAGAGCAGGAGCAGGAGCAGGAGCAGGAGCAGGAGCAGGAGCAGGAGCAGGAGCAGGAGCAGGAGCAGGAGCAGGAGCAGGAGCAGGAGCAGGAGCAGGAGCAGGAGCAGGAGCAGGAGGAGGAGCAGGAGCAGGAGCAGGAGCAGGAGCAGGAGCAGGAGCAGGAGCAGGAGCAGGAGCAGGAGCAGGAGCAGGAGCAGGAGCAGGAGCAGGAGCAGGAGCAGGAGCAGGAGCAGGAGCAGGAGCAGGAGCAGGAGCAGGAGCAGGAGCAGGAGCAGGAGCAGGAGCAGGAGCAGGAGCAGGAGCAGGAGCAGGAGCAGGAGCAGGAGCAGGAGCAGGAGCAGGAGCAGGAGCAGGAGCAGGAGCAGGAGCAGGAGCAGGAGCAGGAGCAGGAGCAGGAGCAGGAGCAGGAGCAGGAGCAGGAGCAGGAGCAGGAGCAGGAGCAGGAGCAGGAGCAGGAGCAGGAGCAGGAGCAGGAGCAGGAGCAGGAGCAGGAGCAGGAGCAGGAGCAGGAGCAGGAGCAGGAGCAGGAGCAGGAGCAGGAGCAGGAGCAGGAGCAGGAGCAGGAGCAGGAGCAGGAGCAGGAGCAGGAGCAGGAGCAGAGCAGGAGCAGGAGCAGGAGCAGGAGCAGGAGCAGGAGCAGGAGCAGGAGCAGGAGCAGGAGCACAGGAGCAGGAGCAGGACAGGAGCAGGAGCAGGAGCAGGAGCAGGAGCAGGAGCAGGAGCAGGAGCAGGAGCAGGAGCAGGAGCAGGAGCAGGAGCAGGAGCAGGAGAGCAGGAGCAGGAGCAGGGCAGGAGCAGGAGCAGGAGCAGGAGCAGGAGAGCAGAGGAGCAGGAGCAGCAGCAGCAGCAGACAGCAGCAGCAGCAGCAGCAGCAGCAGCAGCAGCAGCAGCAGCAGCAGCACAGCAGCAGCAGCAGCAGCAGCAGCAGCAGCAGCAGCAGCAGCAGCAGCAGCAGCAGCAGCAGCAGCTGCAGCAGCAGCAGCAGCAGCGACGAATGTGTGTGCTAGGCCGCCCACCCACTCACCGCGCATAGAAGGCGTTCCACAGAAGCACTGGCAAAGATATCCTCCACGTTCTGGATGCACCGCGACAAGACCACCAGCAGCAGCAGCCCCAGCAGCACCAGCAGCACCAAGAGCAGACACACTACCATAGTCCCACTCACCTCGCATAGAAGGCGTCCCAAAGAATCTGGATCACGGGCTGCATGCCATTGGTCACCGTGGTGGGGAGGTCTTCGCCAGAAGCACTGGCGAAGATGTCATCCACGTTTTGGATGCACAGCGTGAAGACCACCAGCAGCAGCCACGCCACGAAGGTGACTGTAGAGAGCGCTGCTACTATGGCTGCTGGTGCCGTCCGGTCGGACTTCTTTGTCTCTTCTGAGAGATGCGCCACGCCGTCGTAGCCGTAGAGGGAGTATTGAGAGACCATGAGGCAGATGACGAAGGAGTAGGCCTGGGGGAAAAGTGGGGGGGAGGGTGGGGGGGAAGGGGGAGAGGAGAACACGTGCAGGGATTCAGGCTGAGGGTTTAGGGATAGGGCATGCGCCATCGTAGCCATAGAGCGAGTACTGGGAGACCATGAGGCAGATGATGGAGGAGTAGGCCTGGGGGAGCAGTGGGGAGAAAGGGAATGGGGGGAGCAGGGAACAGGGGAATGGGCATGGGGAGATGCCATAGGAGCCGTAGAGGGAGTACCGGCAGACCATGAGGCAGATGCCAAAGGAGTAGGCCTGAGAGGTGCAAGGGAAGGGAGAGATGCAGGGAAGAAGTGGAGCGGTGGTGAACAAGATGGCATCATTCTAGCCACGCCGTTGTAGCCGTAGAGGTAGTACTGGGATGAATGAGACAGATGGCGGAGGAATAGGCCTGAGAGCGGCGAAGAAGTGGAGCGGTGGATGAATGAGACAGATGGCGGAGGAATAGGCCTGCGAGCAGCAATGGGCTGGGGGGGGCGGAAGTAGAGGGGTTGGGGGAGGTGGTGCGGGGTTGGGTGGTTGGGGGGGAACGGGAACGGGTTTGGCAGCGTTGGAGGAAAGCCGTCCTGGCCGTAGAGGGATTATTGAGACATTACGAAGTCTTCTGTTCTTGACAATTCACGAACATGAGAATGGGGCCGATGAGGCCAATGCAGTCACTAGTGGTGTGTCGAGTCGACTTAAAGCTTACAGGCGAGGCGAGGGCATGGAGTCGTTGGTGAAGAAGGTCGGGAAGTCAAGACGGCGAATTAAGTCAATGCAGTCAACAGGTGGTCGCAGTGCAAGTCACAGGCCGTGGTCTACTCACAGGCGAGGGCATGGAGTCGTTGGTGAAGAAGGTCTGGAAGACAAACGAGGCGGGCTGGTGGGTGGGCGCCACGAGGGGCAGAGTGATGATGAGAGCCACTGCGCCCAGCACCTGATGAGGGGTGGAGACGAGAGAGAGAATGGAGGGCAGGGACAAGAGCTTAAAAGGTCGATGCGTGCTTCAAGGCTGGTTGGGCGACTGGTGGGTGGGTGGTGGGTGGGTGGTGGGTGGGTGAGTACCTGAGCCAGCAGATGAGCACCTGAGCCAGCAGATGAGCACCTGAGCCAGCAGATGAGCACCTGAGCTGAGCTTCTGGAGCAGAGAGCAGGGCAGTGGCCCAACCTGAAGCTACTCACTCAATTCAGTGCACAGCAGAGACGAGCGTAGCTCAGTTGAGGAGGCAGCAGATCACCACCTGACCAACATAAGGGGCACCTGACCTGACCTGACCTGACCTGACCTGACCTGACCTGACCTGACTTGACCTGATCTGGACTGGAGCAGAGAGCAGGCCACGGACCAGACCTGTCACTACTCACCTGGATTAGCGCAGAGAAGAGCATGACGTAGGAGACGATTCGGATGGAGCAGCAGTTGATGCAGCAGCAGATGAGCACCACCCCGCACGCGATGCCAAAGACTTCATAGTGGTCCAGCATGAAGCCGTTCCCATTCGCCCCTCCTGGTGTGGTGCATGGTGGAACGGAACGAGAGGGAGGGGGGATGAGGTAGCAGATGAGCACTACCCCACGTGCGATGCCAAAGACTTCATAGTGGCATGGCATGGCATGGCATGGCATGGCATGGCCCACCCGCACGCTGAAGCACTGTAGAACCGTAACGGCACTGGACGACAGAATACACATGAGCGGATTTTTTAGGCGCCTAAAAAATAACCGCACTGGGCGACAGAGTCCACATGAGTGCACCTTAGCTATTCCCAAACGCACCTGTGCTGATGAGGATGAGCACTTGCAGGATGGTGACGCCATAGTACGACACCATGGCATGCCCCACCGCCAGACCCACGAACTCCATCCATGCCTGCACGATGGGGTCATGCGGTCATGCGGTCATGGGGTCATGGGATCAAAGGGTCAAAGGGTCAAAGGATCATGGGGTCAAAGGGTCAAAGGGTCAAAGGGTCATGGGGTCAAAGGGACAAAGGGTCAAAGGGTCACGCATTTTGAGGAGGAAAGGGAAGAAATACGACACCACTGCCAGACCATGCCTGCATGTCGGGATGGGAGCAAGTGGTAGTGCCATGCATGTGTGTTTGAGTCGACTCAGAACACACCCATGAATTTTGGGTTCACACGAACCAGTGGTGGGGTCACGAGTTTAGGGTTTATGTAACGGGGCCACTATTTAGTAGTGTGCAGGGTTACTGGTCCAGATCATGGGTTTATGTGCTATAAGTTCAAATGTTCATATCATGTCGACACGTCGTGGGAGGAAATGGTATGGAGTGGAATGGAAAGGAGGGCAGATAGCACAGGAAATGGTGTCTCGTGGGAGGAAAACAAAGCACAGTGAAGAACGAGGGACAAACAGCACCAATCTCAGTTCGTTTGACCAAATCTCAGGATCAAATCTCAGTATGCTTGATCCTTTTGTTGCGATTTTAACAGCTCCAATCATTTCACACCAAATCCAATCAGATCAGATCGCGTCTCACCGTGATAAACGAGGCCAGTGGGCCCCACTTCGGTCCTGCCAGGGCTGCCGCCCAGAAATAGAGCGAGCCAGCTGTCTGGAGGGTGTGGTGGGGGGTTGGTAGGGAGGAAGGGAGGAGGAGGGGGGGGGGTGGGGGGGCGGGTGGATTTGGGGGAAGAAGAGGGATTGATTTTGAGGGGCAAAGATGGGAGTAGTGGCAGAGGTGCTGGGCTTGGTGCGGGGCTTGGTGTTTCAAACTAGAAGCACAGGATAGGGTATGAAAACCCCACTTGCACATGGATAGGGGTGGATGAAAACTGGAGTGAACCAGCAGGGCCGCAAAGATGACGGATAAGGAGGGGAAGGAGGGGGGGGCGGAGAGGAAGGACGGAAGGGAAGGAGGGGAAGGAGGGGAAGGAAGGAGCCGTGTTATTGGGAAGGAGGAAAGTGCACATACCGGGAAGGAGGAAAGTGCACATACCGGGAAAGTGCACATACCGGGAAGGAGGAAAGTGCACATACCGGGAAGGAGGAAAGTGCACATACCGGGAAGGAGGAAAGTGCACATACCGGGAAGGAGGAAAGTGCACATACCGGGAAGGAGGAAAGTGCACATACCGGGAAGGAGGAAAGTGCACATACCGGGAAGGAGGAAAGTGCACATACCGGGAAGGAGGAAAGTGCACATACCAGGAAGGAGGAAAGTGCACATACCGGGAAGGAGGAAAGTGCACATACCGGGAAGGAGGAGGAGATCTCTGCCATGCTCAGCGCAATGAGGTGCACTGCTAAGGCGGTGATCCACCAGTACCAGATGAGCCCCGCTGGCCCGCCGTCGTTGAAGCCTTGGCTGCATTGGGGGAGTGGGTAGAGGGGGAGGGGGGGTGGGGGGAGTGGGGGAGAGTGACAAGGGGGAGGAGACATTGTTTGTAAGGGGACAGCCAGAGTGGTGACCCACCCACCCACCCACCAGTACCAGATGAGCCCCGCTGGCCCGCCGTCATTGAACCCTTGGCTGCATTGGGCGAGAGAAGAGAGAAGGAGGGTGTTTTTGGGCGTTTGGGGGAGCGGGTGGGCAGGGGGATAAGGGGGCAGGATGTATGGTAGGAGACGAAACAAGGCAGTGAGTTTAGCAGTGGAAAAGGTTTGTTTTGAGACGCCTAAAAACAAGCCTTATATCACGTGGCAGGATACATGGTAGGAGACGAAAGAAGGCAGTGAGTTCAGCAGTGGAAAAGGATGGGTATGTATGTGTGTGGCTGTTTGTGTGCGCGCGCGAGCACACACGTGCCGGACCATGAGGGGGAGGGGGAGGGGGAGGGGGAAGGGGGAGAAGGTGAGACGAGCAGAGGCATAAGGAGAGGAGTGGTATTGAAAGTTGTCAAGTCCGTGCTTTAAAGTTTTAATACAGGAGCCAACAGGGCTTTTCTGTTTGAATTGCTGCGAAGGAACCCGCCCATAGTAGCAACAGTGACACTGAAAATGGTGAAGTCCTTGCTTTTGATTCAGGCGCCTTGTTTCGGGGGAGGAACCAAATTCGAGGGGGGGAGGAGGAGGGAGGGAGGGAGGAACGGACGGAAGGAGAAAAAACGCATTGATGGCGCTACTTACACGCAAGTCGTGGGATAAAGGAAACCACTCACCCATACATGGGGACGACCCCTGCAAACACGCTCATCATGCTTATGCCAGTCGCGTACAGTTGCGGGAAATGCTGGGAGGGGGAAGGGGAGACGGGAAACAGGGGACGGGGAAGGGAGTGAGGGGGAAGGGGGTGAGGGTGAAGGGGGGGAAGGGGGAAGGGGGGGGGCGGGGAAGGGGGGGGGGGGGGAGGGGGAAGGGGGTGAGGGGGAAGGGGGTGAGGGGGAAGGGGGGGGCGGGGAAGGGGGTGAGGCAATGATTCAGCTGGGGTCTAACCTAACTTGGACTAAAACCTAAGTTCGCCTACTACTGGTAGTTCAAAACCAGGCGGCTCAATACCGTACGTCTCATACACGCTGCTTACCAGGACCCAGGAGCCGTTTCAGCTGGTGCTTGTATTTTCTAGGAGCCTCAAACATAGAATCACTTACCAGGGCAGTTTCAGTTCCTGCTTTTAACCCAGTTCGTTAAACAGCCCCCAGCCTACGCTCTCCCCGTGACTTTTAGAGTCGACTGGAAGGTCAATGAGCAATCTTACCAGCGATAGTTTCAGCTCCTTTCTGTAACCCAGTTGAGGGCGGCAGTTTGTTGAGCTGCCGCTCGTTTGTTAACGACTCTCAAGCTGGCTGCATAAACTCGACAAGGGCTTTTTTCTAACCGGGCTCCTCTAACTCTCTCCTAAACGCAATCTCGCCTATGGGGTTCGTTTTGTTGCACTAACCTACAGACTCGATGGAAATAAGGCCTCCGCAGCCCACCTGTAATCCATCTACGTTACCAGCGATCGTTTCCGCTCCTTTCTGTAACCCGGTTGAGGGCGGCAGTTCGTTGAGTTGCTGCTCGCCCAAGTCCAGGGCGAGCGAGCGACATGGTGATTTCGACAAGGGGATGAGAACGTATTTTACCTGGCCGCTTCACCTTGGGGACCTCCCTCCTCCAAACGCTGGAGAGGGAGTAAGGGGGAGGGGGGGCTGGGAGGGTGGGGGGATCAGTAGCTAGGGCTGCCCTTCCTGTTTGTCTCATGCCCTGCTACGATATCTGCCTGGATGTACTTTGCTTGCCCATTAATACACGGACCGCTTGAAGGGGATGATAATGTATTTTACTCGGGGTTCGTCAGCTTGACATCACATGCTGCTGCTCACCAGGATTTTTTTTATTTTTTTTTTGGGGCTTTAAGGAGATCCCAGGAGGAAATGCTCACCAGGAAACGCTTCAGTTGACTTTTGAGTCGACTCAAAAGTCACCTCGGAGCTCGACATCACATGCTGCTCACCAGGGTCCGCTTCAGTCCCTGCCAGTTACCCAGCTCGTTCAGTCGCCGTTTGCCAGAATCCAGAGCAAGCGACATGGCAACCCCATCCTCCATGGTGATTTCGAGGACCTTCTGCTCCATGGTAACAACTCCCCCATCCCCCATCAGCCATCCCCCATCTGCCATCCCCCATCAGCCATCCCCCATCAGCCATCCCCCATCCGCCATCCCCCATCCGCCATCCCCCATCCGCCATCCCCCATCCGCCATCCCCCATCCGCCATCCCCCATCCGCCATCCCCCATCCGCCATCCCCCATCCGCCATCCCTCATCCTCCATGGTGATTTCGCCTGATCTTACCAGACACTCAAGGACGGTATGCGACTTACCAGCGAACGCTTCAGCTCCTGCCGGTACCCCAGCTCGTTCAGCCGCCGCTCGCCCGAGTCCAGCGCGAGCGACATGGTGACCCCGTCCTCCATGGTGATTTCGAGGATCTTTTGCTCCTCGCCGATGTCGTCGTCGTGCCGCTCGATCATTGCCACCACCGCCGCGCCCTGAAACGCGGAAGCCTCCGTGTACAACTGCATCTCCTCGCGCTCCATCGCGCCGCCGCCGCCGCCGCCGTCCGCGCTGCCTTTTTCGTCCGCCGAGCCGCCGCCGCCGCCTTTTTCGCCATCGTGCGAATGATGCTCCTCGTACTCTTCCGCGGCGCCCATCAGTCAGTCAGTGAGTCGCTGACGTGTCAGTGAGTCAGTCACGTGTCTGTGAGTCGCTGACGTGTCAGTGAGTCAGTCACGTGTCTGTGAGTCGCTGACGTGTCGTCAGACGTCCTATTGAGTCGATTTCGAGCACCGAGGCGGATTCTTGGATTCTTGGGTGTAGGAACTGCGAACAGTTGGCTCAGACCTGATTGGTCACTGGAGGGATGGGGTGGACGCGTGGACGGATGGGGTGGACGTGTGGGGTGGACGGGTGGGATGAACGGGTGAGATGGGACGGATATGAAATCTAAGGCTGAGATGCACGCGATGCGATGTGAAGGCGAGGAACACCGCACGTGTGGCAAGTTTAGCTTGCAAGTGGGAGTCAGCGCAACCCTCGAACTAAACAGGTTGGGACTCCGCGAGCAGCCTCGAACTACGCGACATCACCAGTTGCTTGCGCCGGGTGACTTCTGTCGGAATCGCGAGAGTGTCGTCTCAAGCGAGTCAGAAGAACGAGTGTACCGCGTTGCATTGTAACGAGGTGACTGTTGAGTCGGCTCAAAAGTCGCCGGGTGTCTTGAGACGGAATCGCGAGAGTGTCGTCTCAAGCGGGTCCGAGTCGGAACGAGGGGGCCCCACTTCGCAGCCATGCTCAATACATGGCTGCAGCTTAGCCATTGAATTGGAATGGCGAGAGTACCGGCCCAAGCGGGTCGGGACGAGGGGACCCCTCTTCGCAGCTATGCTCAATACATGGCTGCAGCTTAGTCAATGACTAGGGAAAGCGAGCCCAGAAAAGGCGAGAGCGCCGTCCCAAGCGGGACGGAACGCGTCGCTGAACCCGTCATTGACGGAAGTGAGTGCTCCTAGCTTCGACGGAGGAAGCGGTGGCTGTCTTCCTGGGAGGCGGAGGAAACGCCCGACGATCTTCGATTTCTTGCATGAGAGCTCTAGGGTTTTGGAATCAATAACTGACTGGAAAAAGGAAATGCAGGCACGTGTTTTTGAGGATTCTCAAAAACACCCTGCAAAATGCAGGCACGTGGAGCGGCGTAACAGTGAACGCTTGGACTCAGGCGAGCGGCTCAGCGCAGATTGCGTCTGGTTGATTGGAGGTGCTCCGTACCTTCCCTAGTCGCAGTTCGGGCTTTAAATGCCGCGTCTGGGAGCGGCTCGGGATGAGTCGTTGCCCTCGAACGCCTTCACGAAGCGCGTAGGAGGCTCCTAGTAGCGCGGCTTGAGATGGAATTGAGCTCGAGTCGCGGTGGCCGACTCTAGGGAAGCTATGCACGACGCGAACATGATATCTGATTAGGCGCGTCGAGATTGCTCCCTATGATTGCGGAGTGAGAAGCACAGCGCCATAGGAAGGCGGGCGAGAGGGAGCTCGTCGCGATAAGCAACTGCCACTGGCAAAAAGATGCTCGATGCGTAGGAACACACACACAAACACCCAAGGAGAGATGCAGTAAGAGTGGACAGAGAGGGAGCAGCGAGTTTGTGATAACATGAGAGGAGTGGGAGGGAATGGAATGAAGGCTTGGATGCAGTAGTACAGTAGAAGGTCCTCCCGAACACCTCGACTGTAAGGAAAGCTCGAACAGACAGGCGAGTGAGCGCCTGTCTGTTGCTGGTTGCGTTGCAGCCATCATAAAGTGGGGGACTGTTGTGTTGTGCCTGATCTGATGATGTTGGGGATGTGCTCTTCAAGGGCAATTGCTCCCGTGGAAAGCCCGTCGGTCCGACCGTGGTTTACGCAGGAAGGATATATACTTGATAGTGTGAAGAAAGTCTTTGGAGGAGGACGTGTGTCGAAATATTTGCAAAACCATTGCCCAAGTTTCACATTAAATGCTGGTGGAATTTCCAGCAAATTGCTGGTTTGTATGAAGACTACATTCTAGCTAGAGGGCTCTGCAAAAACAAATCTTTAAGACTCTGCTCTGCAGTGATTTCGCGCAGATTGGAAATCACACGATATTATTCTATTGCACGAGGCACACCCAGAAAATCCCCATGGCGAAGGCTGACAATGAGCTGGCAGAACAACACGGCCAGTGGCGCGCTGGCGCGGTTCATCTCCCCACAGTTGGTGGGTGTGGATGGGGAATCTGCGGAGCGCCAATTTGTTCGTCATTTCGCGAGACACAACCCAGCAGAAAATATGGGCGTGTAACATTTTTAACGAACTGTTATGATATAGGAAGTGTCAATGTACTATAACGTGAGAATACAAGGTCGCTATTGCAATGAAGGCACAAGGTTATATAGTGGTTGGCATGCTAGGGCGATAACCTCGGAACGTGGGTAGGTTTGGCAATGTGGCGACAGTGCCGGACGCGACTCGGGAAAGGAATGGGCCGATAAATGAGGCCGAACGTGACGAGTCGAGGAGTTCGGGCGTACGCGCTAGCGTACGCCTCAGTAAGGAATGAAAATTCCTTACACTACCCCCCCCCCCCCCCCCCCCCCCCCTCTTCTAAACGAGTCCACGGGCATCGGAAACATTCCAACGTTGATAATACTGTTAAAATTATATAAGTTATAATTTAATATAGGCTTGGTAGGTTGTTACTGAACCTTTCTGTAGGGGGTACAAACCCCTCCTTGTACTCCCCTCTCTTCCTAATCCAACCACCTTTCTTCTCGACATCCTCTCACCTCCTAGATCCGTTTTTCCTCACGCCATTCCATGGCGGTCTTCTTCCTAGTATCCTAGCCAACCTAGCCTCCTAAGTTTAAGAACCTTTAGTCCTAAGTTTCTAAGATGGTATCAGAGCAGGAGATCCTCCCTGTTGGATCGCCTCCTCACGCTTCCGCAATTTACTCCTCACTCTCATTAGCTCGAGCGGCCATGGCGGCCGCGTTTTGCTGCAGTGGCGACGTCGCGCTGCCACTGGCCGCGTCGTGCCGCGACCGGCTCGACGCGCTGCCGTGGCGTCGGGCCGTCGTTCTGCAGTCGCAGCGTCGACGTCCCGCTGTGGCATCGACGCTGCCTCTGCCGTCGCGACGTCGACGTCCTGCTGCAGCGTCGACGGCGCCGTCGGGCCGCAGCCGGTTGCGTCGACGCTTTGCCGTGGCAGCGTCACCTTGCTGCCGTTGCAGCGTCGGCGTGCCGCCACAGCGTCGACGCCGCGCCCTGGCGGCGTCGTCATGCTGCCGCGGCAGCGTGGATGGGCGGCAGCGGGCAGCACGCCGTCGTAACCGCCACCTGCCCGCCCTCCTGCCAGTAAGCGCCGCGCCACTTATGGCGCGTCGCTGAAGACTCGCCTCGCCCCGCCCCCTCCCCTCCCCCCCCCACCTGCACCTGCTTCCCCTGCATCCCCCCCTTTCTTGCTGCAGCCGATGACTGCCATGTGAGGGACCTCTCCACCGCCGAGGAGACAGGACATGCCGCCGAGAGGGCGGGGGCCGCCGCACCAGCCTCTGTCGTTCGAGCCGCCGGCGCCGCCGCTGTTGCCGCAGGCCTGGAGCCGCCGCACACCGCCGCCGCCGCCGCCGTCGTCACTGTCGCTGCTGCCGCCATTGCCGTCTCAAGGGGCCGTGAGACCTACCCTCTTCCGGAGTCGTTGCGGCTCCTGCTGGGAATGGGGGTGCTGGGCTAGGGGGTGTGGGTGTGGGTGTGGGTGTGGGGGTGTGCGTGGGCTTGACACTACCAAGCCTAGGGGGTGTGTTAAAATTATATAAGTTATAATTTAATATAGGCTTGGTAGGTTGTTACTGAACCTTTCTGTAGGGGGTACAAACCCCTCCTTGTACTCCCCTCTCTTCCTAATCCAACCACCTTTCTTCTCGACATCCTCTCACCTCCTAGATCCGTTTTTCCTCACGCCATTCCATGGCGGTCTTCTTCCTAGTATCCTAGCCAACCTAGCCTCCTAAGTTTAAGAACCTTTAGTCCTAAGTTTCTAAAAAATACGTCGTTAGAATCGGGTGTGATTCTATCTCAGCGAGCGGCACGCAGCTGTCATCTTCGGATGTGCCATCGCGCCAGCGGACGAGAAAATCAACCATCCGACAGTTCAGTTGCGTCGTGACTCGATGGCTGAGGGCTCGGTCGTCGGTTCCTGTAGGGAAGTCAGCTGCGATACACAGCGTTGTCATGCCAATTCCGACGAACTGGGGACGTAGGGCCTGTTGTGGTAAATGAAGTTTTGTATTCCAACAAGTTCCGTTTTCAGTGTAGTTAGCAGTATCGAGTTTCTCGGTAAGGAAGCAGGTCCGATTGCTGATGTCGGCAAAGCATCACGGGTCCTGGGATGATGTCAGCATACCGCTTCAGTTACGCGAATAGGCGTAACGAGTCGTTTCAGTCACGCGAACAGTCGCGACCCTATAGTATGACGAATAGGTCGCATAGCGCGATAGTGACGAACAAGTACATTAGCGAACATGTACTTTTACTAGAGCTATAAATCCTTGTAATGCCTTTCTATTATTAACCTTGACTTTCCACATAATTATGTGCTCAGGTTATTCAACCTTCGACTACCCACAAGTTCATGTGCTCAGGTTCACTCTGATAAGACTTCCGCTGTCTTACTAGTCTACCATTCCAGCAAAGATCCTTGGTTAAGTACTCGTGTTAGCAGATTCTATACTTAGTCTCCTGCAACACCAGTCCCAGGTGTCATCTTCGGATGTGCGATCGCGCCAGCGAACGAGAAAATCAACCATCCGACAGTTCAGTTGCATCGTGACTCGATGGCTAAGAATTTTCAAGGGCTCAAGTCGTCGGTTCCTGTAGGGGAGTCAGCTGCGATATACCGCGTTGTCATGCCAATTCCGACGAACTAGGGACGTAGGGCCGTAAGAGGCTAACGCGGAAAACCGGGTGGTGACGCCAATCAGCCGGGAGTCGGAGGTGAGCCGTGACAGGTGTCACCATATTGGTCACTTGAAAATGCCCACAGAATCTGGGTCGGAGCTTGCTCGGGATCAGCACCTGCAAATTGCGAGTGTCGAGTAGGACGAGATCTCCCACTTTGTAAGTGACGTCACGTCGATGGCGATCGGCTTGTCGGCTTGCGACCAGGTTGGCTTTCCTGATTGCCTCAGCTGCTTTTTCTCGGGCGACGAGAATGTCTTCAGCAAATTTATGGGACCGGGGCACGGGCGTCTAGATGTTTGGTGTAGAGGGTACCATGGGGTCCTGTCCGTAGTTGAGGAAAAATGGGGACTGATGGGTTGTGGCGGAGGGCGCGTTATTATACGTGAATTCCAGCAGCGGAAGGGATTTCTCCCATGTCTGTGGGTTAGTACAGGTAGTTCGAATGAGTTGCTCCAAAGTTTGGTTGACTCGTTCGGTCTGCCCATCGGTCTGTGGGTGGTAGGCGGAGGAAAACTGGAGTTTGGTGCCGAATTGGTCCCACAGGTGGCGCCAGAAATTCGATGTGAATTTCAGGTCTCGGTCTGAAATAATTGCGGTGGGCAGTCCATGCAGGCGAATGACGTTGGCGATGAACAGTTGGGCAGTCTGCTCAGCTATAATTGTCTGTTGGCAGGCGATGAAGTGCGCCATTTCCCCTAGGACCGGCCGACAATCTCGTCACGTAGTCCATCGTGATATGTTGCCGGGGTCGCTCGGGCGGATCCAACGGTTGTAGTAGTCCGGCTGCTCGCTGATGGGAGGATTTCGGGATCTGGCAGGCGGTGCAAGAGGACACGTACTTGCACATGTCGTCGGCCATGTTCGACCAATAATATTTGCGCTGCAACGTCTTCAGAGTTTTTTCGACTCCGAAATGCCCGGAGGTTGGGTTGTCGTGGGATTCCTGTATTAGAAGGGTACGAAGTAAATCGTAGCCGGGCACACAGATGCGAGAGGTATCGCGCTTATTAAAATAGTGTCCGGTGGCGGTGGTATGCTGTTGGTGGATCGCAGAGCGGAAGAAAGGGTCGATTTTGTAGCCGTGAGTGAATAGTCCGTTAAGTAATGGGCTGGTCTGGGCGACTAGTATGGCGGCGGTATGGGCAGTAGGTCGAGTCAGGGCATCGGCAATATTGTTGGCGCCCAGTCTATAGGTGATAGTGTAGTGGAAATTCGACTCGAGGAAATCAAGCCATCGGATCTGTCGCGGGTTGAGATTCGGTTGGGCTCGCAGGTACTGAAGGGATTTGTGGTCGGTCCGCACAGTGACGTCAGCACCTGTTAGGCATCATCGTCAGGTCTTGGACACGTGGACGATCGCCAACATTTCCTTGTCGTGTACCGTATAGTTTTTTTCCGCGCCCTGCAGCTTCTGTCATTTGTAGGCGACCGGCTGTAATCCGTCGCCGAAGTCCTGTAGGAGAACTGCACCGATGGCAATGTCGCTGGCATCTGTGATGACTTCGTATGGACGGTCATGATCGGAGATGCAAAGGACGGGCGGTGACGTGAGGGCGATCTTCAGTTGGTCGAATGCAGCTTGATGCTTCTCTCCTCACCAAAAATAATCGTGATCCTTGAGTCGGTCAGTTAGTGGGGCAGATAACCCAGCTATATTGGGGATAAAGCGGCGGACGTAGTTGACGAAACCCAAAAAACTTTGCAGCTCCTTTATGTTGGTTGGCGGCTTCCACTCCTGTATGGTCTTGATTTTCTTGGGGTCGATTTTCACTCCTTTGGT